ATGAAAAGTTTGGAGCGGACATTCGCCAGATTCTAAAATTCATACACGGTTCAACCCCCGAGAAGGTAAACATTTTCAACACAAAGATGTGTGATCTACTAAACAAACATACACCAGTCAAATCCAGAACAGTTATTGATCGACCTTCTGTCCCGTGGATGACTTGGAAATTGAACAATCTAAAATGGAACGTAGACGAGCTGGAGATCAACAAAGCTGAAAATGTATGAGGGCATTTATAGACACGGTAACAACATAGTGAAATCGTTAAAAGCATCTACCAAATTTATGTATCATAACGGAAAAATTAATGAATGTACCACCTCTAAAGCTTTATTTTGCATAACAAATCAGTTGTCTGGTAAGAAAGACCCGCCCAGCAACAAGTTTCCCACGAATGTACCTAAAAGTGATCTTCCTGATGTTTTTGGTCAATACTTTAGAGACAAGATATCCACGATTAGGAAATAAAATTGACATTACTGCCCATAAACTACCATGTTTTGAAACATTTTCTGTGGTAATCTTTAATGAATTTGTACGTGTAACACAAGAAGACGTAAGATCAATCATAATGTCATAACCCCATAAAACATGTAGTCTTGATCCCATTCCAACACCACTGCTCATCACACATCTTGATAGTGTCATTGGATTTATGACTTCCATCATTAATGAGTCTCTTCAGTCTGGAGTAGTACCATCACTCATTAAGCATGCTTTAGTTATTCCCCTTCTCAAAAAATCAAATCTTTCCTCGGAGGAGCTCAAGAATTTCAGACCTGTCTCCAACCTTCCCTTTTAATCAAAAATCTTGGAGAAAGTTGTTTTGGTACAATTGAAGAATCATTTAAAAGAAAACAATTTATATGAATTGTATCAATCTGCCTATCGGCAATTTCATAACACAGTATATAACGACCTCTTGTGTGAGGCGGATGAGAACAAAATATCAATTCTTTCTCTTCTTGGTCTTAGTGGTGACACTATAGATCACACTATTCTTATTGAACGATTGTTTAACACGTTTGGCCTGTCTGGCAGGGTTCTTGACTGGTTAAGGTCCTACCTGATTGGCCGTACACAATCTCTGGTTGTGCACGACTCTCTTTCGTCAATTTTTAAGCTAGACTTTGAAGTGCCTCAAGATTCATTAATGGGTCCAATCTTGTATACGTTATATACACAGCCGCTTGGAGCTGTGATTATAAAGCACAATATGAATTATCACATGCGCGCTGACGATACACAGTTATATAAATCTGTTCTAGCATCAGATGCTAAAACCTTGCTTACTACCATGGGTCTGTGCATTTATGACATCAAAAAGTGGATGGTTGATAATAAGCTTCAGCTTAATGAAAATAAAACTGAAATTCTTTTATGTAACCCAAAGAAAAGCCATATCCCCGTAGACATTGATCATATTTGTACTGAAAATGAAAAACTGTATTTCACTAATAAAGCAAAAAATCTGGGAGTGTATTTTGATTCAAATTTGTCAATGGAACATCATATCAATTATTTATGTACCATTTTATTTTGTGAATTGCGTAGAATTGGTCAATATGTCTATGTTTTTGAATGAACACTCGTTGAAAACGCTCGTGTCATCTTTCTTGTTTTCACGCATAGATTATTGCAATGCTTTACTAGCTAACTTACCAAATACCACTCTTCACAAGTTACAACGTTTTCAAAATCATGCTGCTAGGCTTGTACTAAAGAAAAAGAAGAGGGACCACATTACTCCCATGTTAAGAACGTTACATTGGTTTCCAGTGTCAGCTAGAATGTCATATAAAATTGCAATAGTATGTCATAAATGTGTCAATAACAAAGCTCCCTCATATCTTAGTGATCTCATCCAGATGTATGTTCCATCTAGATCACTAAGATCAGGCGATCAGTGTCTTTTAAGACTTCTTAGAAAAGGGGGTAAAAAATTAACTGAAAGATCGTTCGCCCACCATGCTCCGTTAGTTTGGAACTCTCTTCCCCAACCCTTGAGACATACAACATCTGAGTCTAAATTTTTTTAAATCTTTTAAGACACATTTAATGACATCCTTTTTTATGTCAGAAGATTCATGTTCAATACAAGAGTATGTAAATAACTATGTATCCATTTATGTATTTTGTGAATTACATTGTGTATATTATTTTATGCTCAATTCGTCACGATGAGTAAGCGTGTGCGTGTGATAAGCAAGTAGATGTGTGTATGTGTGTGCGTGTGTGTGTGTGTGTGTGTGTGTGTGTGTGTGTGTGTCTGTGTGTGTGTGTGTGTCTGTGTGTGTGTGTTTGGCGTACATGTGTTTGCCCAGTGTGTTAGGTGTTCGTGAGTGTGTACGTGTGTGTGTTTGTGTGTGTATGTTTATATGAGTGTGTGTTTGTGTGTGTGTTTGTGTGTGTGTGTATGTGTGTGTATTTGTGTGTGTGTGTGTGTCGGGTGCGTGAATATTGTTTGTACATGTACATGCATTTAAGTAAAGCGCCTAGAGCTGTGTTTACACGGGAGTGGGCGCTATAGAAATGATTTTCATTATTATTATTA